ATTTTCACATGTCATTCATAGAATAGCCGAGCCTACTCTATTGACATGTTGTATGCAATGCATAAGGCACTTAACATGGACTTGGATCATGCATGTCTACTAACAACTTCTTTGTTTTGGCGCGGAGTACTAAGTAAGTATTTTAAAATGCTTTAGCATCTCGCATGCGTGTGAATGCTATCATGACAGTATGCTTACCATGTGGCTAGATGCTTATGTGATAAACTGTTTGAATGCCTGTGGGTGAAGGTTGGATTGTTTGAGTTGGAAAAACTCGTTGAAATCCGTATTTTAGCCTACTTACGAGTAGCAAATTCCAAAACATTTTTCCAAAACAAATGGATATGCAATGCTTATTTCCAAATTAGGCAATCTAGTCTATACTTTGATCTTGTGTGTTTCCTTTTTATCTTCTGGGATCTGAGATCTGCTCATTGTGCTCTTCTCTTCTCGGACTCAGGTGCCGAGATCTTATCTTCTGGAATCTTGGATCTGCTCACTCAGGTTGAGCTCTTCTCTTCTCGAACCTACTCATCTAGGCTGAGATCATGTCTTCTAGGATCCGGGATTTGGAATCCGGGAACTGCTCACTTAGGTTGAGCTCTCGTCTTCTCGGGCCTACTTGTCTAGGCTAAGATCATGTCTTCTTGGATCCGGGATCTAGGATCTGGAATCCGGGATCTGCTCACTCAGGATGAGTTCTTCTATACTTGAATGTTATCTCCTTGGGAGCGCTCATGCCCCCTGTCTTTGCATCCCTTCTGGAAGGGTCTTCGTTCCTCCGCAGGTATCTATCCTTCCATACCTGGAGGTCATCTTCGTTGTAGTATCCGCTTCGATCTGTTGTCTTTGGTGCGTCACCTTCCTGGCCAGCGTCTTTCACTCCATGACTCTGGTCACGAGTTTCTGTGTTGCTATTGTCCCCTTCAACGTTGAGGTTGATAGATCTCCCATTCCCAGCGGGAGCGTTGTCTCCAGTCTGATCCTTCTGTTCGTCATTGGCTATCTATTCTTCTTTCTTTTCCACAGACGGCGCCAAATTTAGTGGGAAATTTTCTGACCACACTGCCAACTCAGTAATTTAGCTAGAGAGCAATGGCAGAATAGATAGCACCTGACTGACCTGCAACAGAAATATAAGAATCCCGCGGTGGTTCGTCCACCCGGGGGCACTCCAACGATCGAGTTAGTATATCTCTCAAAGATAGTCAATTATTCAACTCACAAGCTTGAGCCTAAAAAGCATACCTTATACCCATGTGGGTGACTCTCTTTTATTGCCAACATAAACCTAGTCCCAATAGAAGCCTAACTTCTATGGACTCAGGATTACTGCTAATCTTGGACTCCCAGTAAAATTAGGATAAACTCTCTAAGAGTCTTATCTTAATACAAACTGAATTCTTTTCTCATTCTAGAACTCTTGTCCCTCATCCAGGTTGAGTTCCCTTTTCATTCTAGGACTCTTGTCCCTTATCCATTTATCTCGGATTTCGATATCTTTGGAGATAATCTCGGCCTTGCCGAGATCACCTCGGCGTCATGATCAGGACACGTAATACTTCGGCTGACATGTCGGTATCACCTTACCACGTGTTGATACTCAGAAAATATATCCCCACATTATGTGACTGAGTTGATGCGATATATTTTTTCATTCATTATTTGTAATGCGGTAAAAAGTGGGGTTAAAGTTTGATATGACCGAATGATCAACACCTTGGGCTAAGGGCAAATTGATTTCTTAGGTCTCACATTTATTACATAATAAATAGTGAATAGAAGGATATACCATATCGGCTACCTGAAATACTTATTACATAATTTTTTTTTTGTTTGTGTGGAAGGGATTGTGTATTAAAGAACATAATTAATAGGTCCAAGTTGGGTAGATATCTAATTAGTAATTAATTAAGTTGATCCCTATAAACACGAAATTTTATTGCATAGGAAGATGAGAATTTCTCAAGTTTTTTTCATCTTTTATTTTATTTTTTGATCAACAAGTAATATTAATTTTATTGACAAAATTCAAAGTACAAGTACAAAGATAAGTACCAATAAAAAAAGGGTAATACGAAAAAACGTATCAAAGTACTCAAGATTATCCCAACTATGTTAACACTTACGAGCCTAATTATTTGCGAGTACTACACTAAGTTGATGAGTAACCAACCATAAACTTCATCTTTTACGGTGTATTTTGTTGTGTGAATTTAATTAAAAGATGAAAATTCTATTAATAATTCATTCGGTAATATATAACGGTCCTTATTGCAAATTGTAAATAAATAATTCTATGTACTCACAAAAAGTGTACATGAAAAACTATGTAGATCAGATTTATTTAGACTGTGATTGGATAAAAAATTAAAAAAAGAAATTTCTGAAACAAATGAAAAAAAGAAGTGAAAAGTTAATGAAATATAAACATTTTTTTTTTTCACTTTTCGTTTTCCTTTTTATTTCTCAACACTAATTCTCATTGAAATTCTTGATCTAAATATAGTCTTAGTGTATGATCCACAACACATTATATCGTATAAAATTTAAATAAATACCAATAGGGCTGGGCATAGGGCTATTTGAACAGCCTAACCTGCCCAATCTGAACTGATCCGCGTACAAATAGGCGGTTTTGCAGATACAATACGGGCGGATGCGGTTTGGAATATGACATTATTGGGGGGTTACAGATTTTACCCGCACCCGCAAGAACCTGCCCACACTTAGACTTTTTTTGTTTTTAATATATATTATTTTTAATGATGGAGTTTGCGAGTTTACAAATATTTTTATTTTATTTAATGGGTTTGAATTGGATTAAGTTAAATAACAATTTATTGTTATTTTATTATTACATTTCGGATTAATGTAAAAGTTAATGAAGGATTACTTTTAGGTAAGTTTAAGATTTTGAATGATTTTACTTTAATTGTATTATTGGGTAGTGAATGATTTTGATGATTTAGTTTAAGATTTTGAAAGATGTGTTTGCGTTAGTTTATGATTTTATTTAAAAGTTTAGAATTTTAAATGATTTGTTTGTGTTAAAAATTGATTTTGTTATTTTTAATTTTATAAGTTTTAATTCATTAATTATTAATGTTGAGCATTTTAGAAAATGGGGGGAAAAGGACTCAAAACAAATACTTACAAAAAAGGAAAAAACAAAGGGTCCAAAAATAAATTTTTAAAGAAAAAAGTTCAATTCGCAAATTGTCCACAATCATCCGCACATCCGCGAACCCTATCTATACAAACCGCAACCCATACTGCGGGCGGTTGTTGGTTCAAATTTTCCCAAACTGCACATATGCGGGTGGGTCCAAACCGCAAACCGAACTGTCCAAAACTGAATCACGAGCACCCCTAAATGCCAAACATTTCAATTTATAGATATTTCTTGGATTTGTATTTTTTGGATTTTAAATTTCTTTCATTAGGAATAATTAATTTGCTCCGATCCAGTTTAAATTAGAAGTCACATTGTAATAAACTTTAGAAAGAATTTCATGCAAGTGGGAAATGGAGCAGAAATCACAAAAGAAAAAAAATTACGAAAGAGTGAAATTTTTTGTAGGTACAAGTTTTTGATGTGTTTTTAACACTAAAAATTTACACCTCACTTGTTCGTAATTAAGTTTTATCTTCATGATGCTCTCACCTTACTCATCCTTCCTCATTATTCATCCAACACTGCATCATAATTGAAGAAGGAATTTTCCATATGAAGACAACTTTGAGAGAGAGAGAGAGAGAGAGAGAGAGAGAGCACCATTAATCAACTCCAGTTGAGTTTCTCTCAAAGTACTATTAAATGCATTTCTGTGCAAAATAGAGAAAAAGGAAAAAAGAAAAAAACAATTTCTCATTAATTAGATACTTAGCAAGTGCTAAGTGACAGATTTAGAGCTTATTTGCAGTAACTTTTCTCAAGTTGAAAGTTGACAATAAAAAAACAAAAATTAAAAATTTTTCGAAGATTAATTTTTAAAACTTCTTTAAATTATTTATATCTCATAATTAATAGGTAGAAATTAGACTAAATACACTAAGAGAGAGACAGACTCTTAAAAATAAAATGGTTATAAACAACTCAATAAACTACACAAAATAAGATTCTTTTTTATAATATTTTTTGTATTTTTTATAGAGGGGTGGGGATCTAGTTTCTTAATTATGAGCCACTCATTAAAGATACAGTTATCGGACAAAATAAAAAAATAAAAATTATGATTTGTGCTTAATTTTATGTACATTTCAAAATTACTGAAGTATTAATTTGTGCTCATTGTTACACCACCACCTGTAATTTCTGTTCTAAAAAAAACTATTAAAGAATTTTAGAAACAATGGAACCAACAAAAGCCCTTTTGATTCTTCATTAATGGCCATGTTCATTTCTGCAATGTACTCTCATCATGGTTCACATTTAAAACTTCTTCTTTTCCACTTCTATAATTTCAGTAATTTTTTTATGTTAAAAATATAACAAATTAAGATTCCTTCTTGAATTCAGAAATGTTTCATTGAAAAAAAAGAAAAGAAAAAAGAAAAGAAAAGAGAAGTAAGTGCTTACCCAACCATTATGACGGTGGTAATTTTTCTTTTGACAACTTCATTTAACATCTTAGAACTATCTTAATCTAGTCTATATGTAATCCCCTCCTTTGCTGCTCGTACAACAAAATTGTATTTCTTTCGACTCAGGATGACTTTGGTACCAAATGAAACAAATCACTTGGGTAGAAGTTACCATTCGAAACCGGCTTCCAAACTATCACTTTTGCCAATGTGAAACAAGTTAAGATCATAACTCTTTAATTTAAATATGCATAACTATAAGATTAAAACTAAAAAGATCTTGAATTAAAGTAATGTAAAACCCTAATATCAACTTTTTGCACAATAATAACATAAGAACACAAAATGATAGTCATCTTAATCAAAATAGAGAAGGAAAAAAAAAAGAAAAAGAAATAATAAGAAAGGGAAAATAAGGAAGAAATAATACACTTCTAGGAGAAAAAAAATACTAAACATAGACCATTAATGAAGAGTTATGATACCATTATGGCTCTTACAGACCTTACAGAGAAAAAAAAAGAAAAGAAAAAGGACGTACATTTTGATAAATACCACAGCCATAGTCATATATAGACTATGGAAAACAATAAAATTCTAAATATATATATATTGAAAAAAGGTACAACAAGAAAAAGAAAAGATTACTAGGAGTGTTGTCATGGCTTGTAAATATCAGATAGAGTTTGCAACACATTAACTTGCAACCTCAAATGCAAGATGTAGTCAGCTGTCCTAAGAAGAAGCCGGTCCGGCTTCAACCCGCGGCCGCCCGGTATCAACCTCTGCAGCTTCTTCACTCTCCTCTGCACCGATCCCCGTGCCGCCACTGCCATCCTCCTCCTCCTCCTCTCTCTTCTAATTTGCATTTTTACCCTAGACTCATCTTTGCATCCATTACAACCCATTATCAAATAACCCTAAGTTTGAGCTCTATAGAAAGAGTTTCAAAAAGGGTCGATGAGAGAGAGAGAGAGAGAGAGAGAGAGAGGTTGTTTGTTTGCAGAGAGGTAGGAAATGAGAGGGATATAAATGAAGGAGGGATATGAAGGAAGTGTTGAGGATGGGATGGGCCATGTGAGCCGAGCCGAGCCGAGCTGAGGAGGAGTGTAGTTGGGCTGGGCTTATGGGTTGGGCTGGTCACACGCTTGAGTCGTTTGTCGTATTGTGGAGGTGGGGGCCCAATAATGCTTCAGCTTTCAGCGACCCACGGACGTGTCTGACAGCTCTCGCACGCTTACGCCAGCCATTACTTCTCAAGAATTAATGTTGAGTCAGTGCAAAGATTTTTAAATACAATTTGAGAATTTTTTTTTTTATAAAAAAAAAACAAAAATTGTTAGCAACTATTGTCATTTTTTATTTAAGAAAATGAAGAATAATCAAAGTCAAATGTATACCAGTTATGAATTGGAAATTACCAATTTTGGTGTTAAAACTGTATTGAGATTTAAGGGTTGGTCTAGGAAGTAGTTTTTTTAGTATTTTTTTTTTGACTAAAATATGAGGTGAACAAAAATTAAAAATCATGTTTGGTTTGATTCTTTGAAATTATTTTTTGAATTAAAAAAATAAAAATAGAAACTAGTTTAATAAAATAAATATCAAAAAGATATTTTTAATTTTTTAAAATTGTTTCTTCCTTCTGGAATGATAAAACTATATAAAAGTGATAAATATTTTTGATTTATTTATTTATTTTATCAAAATAATTTTTTGTTTTTGAAAATCAAACCAAACAGAGCCAATATGTATGTTTGAGAATGATTTTTGATTTTTTAAGAAAAATGTGCAAAAAATAGAGAATGAATGCTTTTCTATGGTGGACATTGTTCATATGTTTTTTTGAATTTTTAGCTAAAATCAATCATCCCAAACTCACCCTAAGATCTTATCTTGTGTGATATCAAATTTAAAATCTCACCGCTATGTATGCAGCTTTTCCATCTCCTATATTTATCTCACACTAATGTAAAACTATTAAAATTATATCATTTGAGGGTTTACGGTGACATTTGCATATTCACACATAATTTTTTTATGGGGAGGAGACGATATATTATATGTGAATAAATTAGTTATTGAATGAGTATTGCGGTCATAAAATTAACATTTACAATTTGCATATCACTTTTCATTACAAAATATTTACAAAAGATTGAGATTAAAAAGATAAAATATATTATTTTTTTAGTTCAGAGAGTAACGTGACAACAACAAATAGTTTAGAGAGTAAAGTAAAATGTGCCCATTATTTTAGTTGTATATTTCACAATTTAAGTGTAAAATATAGGTGTATATTATACAAAATATATTATTTATTGACTCAATTAGAAAGCACAAATGTAAAAGATAAATTGATTATACATTATGGGATTATGACTATTCATGGTTCTTTCAAATTTGGTGTTGATTGATTTTAATTTTTAGGAAATACTATAACCTGATTTCAATTTTGAAATCTTTTCAATCACTTACCAGTAATTCTTATAAAATAATAATAATAACGGTTATAGGTATATGTGAGTGTATCTGTCCTCGTAATCCCCGAATCCCGACAGTTGCCCGCTCACACGTGCTCGGATCTTATCTCCTACACAACCTCTTGATCTTTACCTAATCAAACGGCTCATGATAAATCTATCAATGGACCCCAATTTTTAAAGCCCTGGCCCACCATCAAATTTGGGGAAATTGTGATCATTTGATTTGTGATCCATTCATGTGACGGTGCCAAAAAATGCAAGTAAACACAATTTGCAAGGCTGGCAAGAAGATGGACATGAATTGTAGGTGATCTTTCATTTTTAAATTATATATATATATATATATATATATATATGTATATTTTTATTTTTAAATAGATTTTGTATGCATCAATTGGTAATGTGAAGAACCACCACTATTGATGAATGGTTCAATAGAGTAAGTTTGGCTGGTGTTTGACTTGTTAAAATTTATTTGAGATTGAATTATTCATTAATATATAAACAATCTATTATTTGAACTAACTGTTTAACTTGTTAAAAATTAAATATGTTCTAAAATTTATTAAAATTTTAAATTTAATTTCAGCAACCAATTAACTGGCTCGTCCTGCCCCGTACTTCTACTTAAAAGATAAATGTTTATTATGTGTCCATATGTGTATGCATTTTGTGTAAATATATATATTTAATTGTTTTTTGCTTTTGGTTTTTGAGAAGAAGATTGTGGTGATGATTGAGTTCCTTTATGAATACATATAGAATTAATATTATAATGATGATGGTAGCATGGGCAAACTCTTGATTAATCTAGAGAATGTGATTAAATAATATATGAACCATAACTTGTCCAGGGTATTCTTCTGGTCGTTGACTTCTCTTCCATTGATTGGAAGCTCCAGTCGAATATGCAGCTCATTTCATTTAACTTAATATTTATTATTATTATTATTTATTTTTATAGTTTATGTTGAATGTTTGATGTAATTTTTGTCTATAATTTATTTAGAAAATTTAAATTAAATAAGTTAATTATTTATAAGGTGAGAGGGAAAATCTCAGGAGGTTGGCCTGACAGTCAAGGCTTAGGGTTTGGTAGTGCGTAGGAATGGAATTAGGATTGCATCATTAAAGGGGTCAAAAGATGGATAAAATTGTTTCATCATATATATAAATACACATGTATATAATGTAATATATAAATTATATATATACATAAAGAAAAAATTAAATACCATAGAAGCAATTTTTAATAGGATGACGAAGGTTTTTTGGTGCAAAATAAAAGGAGAATGCAAATGAGAGAAAAATGAGATATACATTTTTTATGTCGGGGGACATTTTATATAAATGATATATATGTTTAAAATGTTATGGCAACTAGCATTTTTGACTTTAATCGAGACCTAGTAGATAGTGGGATTGGTCTTCCGAATTAGTCGGTCTAATGAACCGGATACCAAGTTATCGCGGGAGAGAAATACCTTTTGCTTTTGTTTTGTAATTATTACTTTTTAACTTATAATAAATTCCACCAAATATATATGTATATATGAGAGGCGTCGTAGAATGTAGACACCACTAATAGACTCTTATAAGGTCCATAGTTCTTATATATATATATATATATAAGACTGTAAATTTAATAAATTGATGTATATTTTTTGATCGGTAAAAAGAAGAATTTTATTGTTGCATATCAAGAGTAGAAACACGAATGAATTGAGATATATATATATCACTTCTCTTCCCTTGACAATTGAATGAGTCCCAAGCCAAACAGCAAGGCTACATGTATAATATTAAAATATTAAAAATGTACAGAAAGTGAATTGTATGATTTAAATTTATTTTAAATATGCTTTATATAACATTCAAATGAATTTTAGTATTTATATATTTTTGTGTGTATATTTTTTGTATTAAATGGTTCTGTTTGGTGTAACTGTTAAAATAGATTATAAATTATAACTTCACAAATTATATATTCTGACTTTAATCAGAAACTATTAATCTGTTTGGTATAACTGTTGGATTATAAATTTAAATTGTTGAGTCGTGTTTGTTAAATAAGCTCTGAAGTAGCTTTTTCAATTAACTTTTACTAGCTTATCACCCGTGCTATGCTCGAGATAATTATAGATATTTATTTATTTTTTAGATTTTTTTTAATATATAAATTATGTTTTTTAAGATTTTTTATAAAAATAATTTAACAATTTTATGACTAACTATAGTATATGAGAGAAGTTAAAAAATATACTGCAATAACTATGCACGAGTTGTATCTATAATTATTTGTATGAAGGATTTTAAATGCTGATCAGAGAATTTTAACCAAATCAATAAATGCAGGCATGTGGAAAGACATGTAGATTGAAAAAAAGTTAATAAATGCTGATCAGGGGATTTTGATAAAATCAATAAATGCTGAGTATTTTTTTTTAAATAAAAAATTTAGAAAATTCAAATTGAGATATTGGAACTCTCACAGGCCTTGGGGGTTAAAAACCCCATTTTGCTTAATATATAGTATGGATTTTTTATTATTCACTATTTATCTACATTTCTCATAAAAAATAATAATAATATTTTATAGTTTATTTTGGTCTTTTTCTATTTTTAAAAAAATAAAAAATAAAAAAAATCTAAGAATATAATCATGAATTAATATGTCCACAGCAGAAGTTATTATAAAAAATAAGGGGTGAACAGTTTCTCAGAATCAATTTTTTTGACTTAAAATAAGTTGTTAGAATCAGAAACTGTTTGAAATAAGTTTAACTAAACAATTCAAAATAACTTTTTAAAAATTAAAAATCATAAATTGACTCAAAAAGGCCCACCCAACACCCCCAAGTGCAAGTGTGTGGGCGTTTGAGAATTTTATTTTATTTATTTTTTATTTTTATAAATTCCAAAATTCAATATTCCTTAGCATTTTTGCATGTGCGTTTGTGTGTGTGTTGGCATTAACTTTAGTGGCTGAGGTGATGCAAGCGCCAAGCGGAAATTGATGAACCATGCATTTTCCATATGATGGTGACTTCTAAAGCTTGGAGACAAGTCTTACAGCTTGATCAGGTTTGTAGAATGCAATCATATACGTTGATTGGACTCACAAAAAGAATGGAGCGTGGAAGGCAAAATTACAAATTTTCATAAATTAATATTAATGTAACATGATTGTGTTGGTGGGAATTCTCACTACGGTGATACTACACGTATTAATTAGTATGTCAATATATATTATGATATTTTCATTTTAATATTACGATCTTACTCATTATACAAATTATAAAGACCAAAAACTTCTAAACTTATACACTACAAAAAAATAAAAATTTTAGAGACCAAAATTTAGGGACAAAATTATTTTTTTAGGGCAAAATATTTTTGTTGCGACAAGTGTCATTATTATATTTTTAGCAACGAAAATTGGACATTCGTGATGAATTATTGGATATGTTTGGATTTGTAGAGTGATTTTAGGAAAAAAAATTTAAAAAATTTGTTTGATTTGTAAAT